CATATTTTAATTATTATTTTTTGTTTTTTCAAGCAATGTTACTGTGTCAGCCTTGCCATTCTTCACTGACAAGGCAAGAGGTCTCTGTTTTGAAGGGAATCTGACTGTTCTGGTGTTTTATGTTTAGGAGGCCCTATCAGAAGTCTTCAGTGCTGCAGCAGAGAGGTCTGCAGAGCACGTCATGAAACCTGTGGTTCTATTTGTCTGTAGTGGAGGAAGCTTTTTAAGATGTCATTTTTTATCTAGGCTCTTCGTCCATCAGGAAGTTCTCAGATCCGGGTGTGCTCTGCTGGTCAAGCTGTTTAGACTGAGGCCGTTTTTCTCCCTGTTTCCAAAGAACTTGGCTCCTGGTGAGTGTATTTCAGCATAGCTGGGGGTGCCTTCTTTTGCTGAGCACCCCGTCTGCCTTCTGATTTATCTTCTGGAACTAGTGTAGCCACTGCTAGAAGAGTTCTTAAATCTCTTCTCCCGGATCCTGGAAGATCCCCAGATCTTCCGGTCCTGTATGGAGTGAGCAGAGATTTGCCCTGAAGGCATCAACCCCAAGGAATTTAAGAGAAAAGAGTCTAAGTCATGGGCTTCTGGGAAGCACCGGTGTGTCTCTGAAGGCCTCCTGGAGGGCTTGTTTTCAGGAGGGCAGCGCAGTGGCAGATCTGCTGCTGAGGCTTTCCTTGGTGATAGTTTATTATCACAAACTTTCCTCCTGCTTGCAGTATTAAATGGTGTGGCATGCCGCTCTGGTTCTGCTGCCTAAATGGGAGGACACTCTTCCGGGAAAATATTGGATTTTTTCAGCATCTCTCTCAAGTTTTGCCCTCCACTACCCTTTCTTTGGTGCTTGTGACCGAATTGCAGCTCCCTTGCTCACCACAGGTCCCTACCAAAGCTGGACCCAGCTCAAAGCTGAGGATGAAGCTCAAGATGACAAGTGGCTGCCTTCGGAGGGCCCGCGGAAGGTAAAAGCTCGGCTCTGGAGCTTGCGTTTCGTGCAGTTTTGGCCAAACGCCCCCTCCAGTTCTTGCCGCTGCCTTTTGGTCCTGTGTGGATTTCCAAGCAAGGCTCGGGTGTCCCCGCGAGGGCGGTTTGGGCCTGGCCGCACAGTTGCAGCTGGTGTCCATCGGATGGCACGAGGAAATGAAAGCGCAATTACCAAAAAGTGCAATTTTTATCAGTAATGAACTTAATGCATGTGGTGGGGGGAATGGCTGCAGCAGTTGCTATAGGATTATTTCTAGTAAATCAAAAAAAATGCCATTTGCACGCTGGCTCTATTAAGGGTAGCAACCTTCCATCCATATGTTTCTGGCTTATCCTTGCAGCTCGTTTTCTAAATAAAGTTGCAGCCTAACTAATATGGTATTGGGCCTCTTGCAGTTTCAGTTTGTCAGACTTTCCACTAAAAAGGCCTGTGTGCGATAGCTTCATTCTTTCAGATATGTGTCAGAAATAGTTCTGTGCATACACATTACAAAATTAGGATTTAATTTTTGTTTTGCAGCCATAAAAAATTAGATTATATAATTATTATGTTTTCTTTTCTCATCTTTGATATTTTTAATATAATTTTTGAGGATGCCACAGGGCACTCCTGCTGTGAATTAGCTGCAATGCATTTTTACCAGATAAACATCAAAGAGCAGTAAAGTTTTAAAGTGAAGCAACCTGCACTCAAAAGCCAGTTGCTTTTTGTGGTAGGTCTTAAACGCTGCAGCTCCTAGAAGGGAACGGGGCTTCTCAAGGGCACGGAGGAGTCGTGTCCTTTGGATTGTTGTGCAACAGAGCTGCCGATGAGAAGCCATTGGTTTTCCTAGGAGCAGCCTCCCCTGCATTGGGGTGCTCCTTGTGGAGGTGTTCAAGATGTGGCAATATCCAAGATCCCGTTTCATAAGGTTGCATCTGGATTGCTGATGCTGAAGTCTCCTTATTAATGTCTGTCAGTCCTTGTGGTGGCTTCTGCTAAAGCAGTTGGTTAAGGGCAAATTGCAGGGGGAGTTTTGCCTGTGTTATCAGAGTCTCTCCTTGCCTTAGGGGCTTGACGTTAGTCTGGACCTGTGTGGGACCTAGAGCAATCCAGAAGTGAAGCACCAAGCGCGGTTTGCAATTCCAGAGAGATGAAAGCCCCAAATTTGGGGTGTTTGCAGTTTTGGACACGTGTGCCACGTAGCTAAGGTGCAAAGTGGCATCACTGCAGGCACTTTACCCGTGTCCAGGGGATGAGGCTTGAGGGCAAAACCCTGAGGAACCCTCTCCCTTTTCAACGTGTTCTTGAAAGCAGTTACGCTCTGCAGGTGCAAAGGCAAAAACCTTCATATTTGGGTGCGCAGCTGCATTCGGCTCTGTGTTTTTGGTGTCTTAGCTTGTGTTGCATGGCCTCTTTTATGCAGTTCTGAGAACATCTGAGCTCCTGCAAGGATGCTTAGTAACCTGGTACCTGCTCTTACTGTTTGGTTTTGAGCTGAAACAAAAGATAGGAGGTGGAGGCAGAAAAGAGGCCGAGGAGGTTCCTTCCCTATTTCGTTTCCTTTTTCCTCAGGCAAAACCTGCATTGAAAGAGCTGACCTCTCAGATATACAGTAATTACAGGGTGCTCTCCTTAGTGATGTTAAATAGCTTCCTTTAGTGTGTCTGTTTGGTCTTGAAATGTGAATTCCCTTTCTTTCGTGGGTGTAAGTGTAAACAAGAGGATTAGCATGGCTTCAGTAGGGTTGTGCTGAAGTGACTGCAAGTTGAAAGGGCTTCTTGAGCATCCACAGAAGGCTCTGTGTGCTGCAGGATCTCTCTTCTCCCTGTATGCCCAAGGTGCTCCTTGTTTGCGAGGCCAGCCGGGACTCCAGAAATGCTCTCCCAATAGTGGATCTGTGAGCCCTGCTCGACATGAGCTACTGCCCTGTGAGCTGGGTGAGAAGGGAGAGGAAGAGTGTCCCTCGAGACCTGCTCTTCCCCTCAGTGCGCCCCAGGTCTCACCAAACCTAACATTAGGGCAGCCTCTATTTGCCCGTGCGGTTTTCAATCAGGCCTTTGCTAAACCAGAACCTGCAGAGCTGTGGTTTTGTCAGGAAAGTTTCAAGAACTCGTAAGACGCGACCATCATCTCGCCCAGACCGTCCTGAGCTGCGTGGGCTTTTCCTGGCTTTTCCCATTGTGGCGGGAAGGGGGTTATTCGTTTCCTTTGTAAATGGCATCCTTCCTCCTCCCGCTTTTGAATGACGATGTCTTCACGCAGAACCTCACCCGGCACCGAGCACGGCACACGGACAGCTTGGCCACTTTGAACTGCTTTGACAGCAGTGAATTCTGCCTGACTGATAATGAATCCATGGGACACAGCTGGGGAGGTGAGTCATATGGTAATTTCTTCTCCAGGTTTTCCTTGGTGTATTAAAAGCTGTGATCTTTCAGGAAAACCTCTTATTTTTTTAATTTTTTTTTAAGCTACTTCCCGAGGCAGGCGCTGCTTTGGAACGGCACCCACGGCGTTGTCCCAACGCAGCGCTCCGTTGGCATCCCGCTATTGTGCGAATATTTTGGGGGCCTCCTTCGCCGCAAAGAGGTTTCATTGCGGGCGGCACGCTGTTACCCACACGTGGTGCTCTGGAGCTTCGGAGCGCGCACGGGACGCACAACAGCAGCGAGTCAGCGGCGCCCTCGCCGGCGCAGGCGCTCCGACGGCCGCGCCGCTAATCTTTGGAGACAGCCTACAGCTCCAGCGGTGCTCGCGACCTGCTCCGCGGTCTGCCTCGCTTAGCTGCTTCGTTGGCTCGGCTCTGCCCGTCTTCTAATCATGTTGGCACAGTCACTTTGATTAAGAGCGACACGTAACTCGCAGGTCTCTGGGCTTGCACCGACCTCAATAAAGTTCTGTGCCTGGTTTTTTTTTTCGTTTTCAAATTTCCCCAACTTCTTGAGGGCACGAGGAATGTTTTGTGCAGCTCAGTGCCCCGTGCTGCTCAAGGGAAGGGGCTTCAGAGGAGGTGCTGTGTCCTGGAGGTTGAGCCATCCGTTCAAACCTACATGCCTTGCAAACCATGGGTGTTTGTGATCCTCTGTGTGTATTAACTTTGTGCTTGATGAGACGCGAGAGCGGGCCCATCAATGTGACTTTAATTATAAAGCTGTGGCTCACTTTCACCTAGTACTTCCGCAGTCTGTTTTTGAGAGGCACTCAGAAAGCAGTCTTGATCTTATTTCATTTTCTTCTGGCTTTTGAGGGAGAGGAGAACCTCCCTTTCTAGTCAGATGACCAATTTTACAGGTCCTTTAGCAAAATAGGTGCAAGCTTAAATATCATTATTTTCCAAACCATAAGAAACAGAAGTTCCTGAAGGATCAGGGCTGATAGCTGGCTTGGGGAATCTGAAGGGATATAAAACCCATGTGGTGGGGCGGGTCATCCCTTTGCAACTTGGCCTTTGACCATCCTTCCGGGTCTTCTCTGGGATTTTCTAGAGAAATAGGATATTTTCATTGGACATCAGCTACTGCCGAGCACTCCTTGAGCACCAGCTCTATTGGTCTGTTGAAAACAAGGATGACTTTGGAAACCTCGCTGCTCATTCAGACCAGCATTTAACTTAGATGCTGTGAAGGAGAAAATGTGCAGTGCTGACACTCAGAAAAGGATGGGAGACTGGAGAAGAGGTTAAAGAGAGTGCCCATCCATCTAAGGACTTTCCAAATGCCTTTGCTTGTGTCAAAAGTATTGTTAGAAGAGAAGAGAGTTCGTGGGTCCTATGGCTGTTAAGTTTAAGGTGGTTTCCAGGGCATATTTGTATCTTCACTCACTGAAACTCAAAGCTTGTTTCTAGGATCCAACTTAGTATGTTGAGCTGAGCTCTGCTTTCTCCATAGGGCAGCCAGGCCAGGCGCTCACTTCGAGAGAGGCATCCTCACAATTTGAGAACTTCTCAGCCTCCGATATTGTGACCTTTGTGGCCAGGAGTTCAGCTGCACCCCAGCACAAGCCTTTTGGAGATGGTGGTGGACGGCGTCGTGAGCAGAGGAATTGACAATACTGCAGAAAAACCGAAGCCCTGGACAGCGTGCTTGGCTGCAAACCTCATGTGAGAAAGCCTGGCTCCCTCGCAGTGGCTGGCAGTGCTCCCACCGAGTCCAACCAGGCCAGGATTTTGCCCTATATATTTATTCTAATTAATGAAACGCTCAGTCATTGTGGTATCCGCGCGCGGAGATGTGGTGTTCAGTTACAAACAGGCATTTTAACGGAGCGATGCCACGTCTGCCCGTGTATTATACTTGGAGATTAGGGAACACGAGCTTTGCTTGCGTGCGCTTCCCCCGTTGTAATTCCTCCTCGTGGTCCGTGCTGCTGGGCACAGAAGGGCTCCACACTGGGGCAAATCAGAAAGATTAGGCAAGGTAGTAAGTAGCTCCAAATTATTAGAGTTTTTGTTGGGATGCCAGTAACTACCTCAATTTCACTGTCAACCCCAAAGGAATTAATTAATTCCTCAGGGTTTAGCAAATCAGTGCAAAAAAAGAATTCTAATCTTGGGCTTTTTTTTCCCCTCTTCTTTAAAAACCAAATTCCCCCCAAATAACTATAGGTGGGTACCTTTCAGTAACTCATACGGCGCTGTACGCTCTCCATTCTGATGCTTCATGACAATAACGTGTTGCAAGAGAAAGCTGATTGAGTTCAAGTGAAATCTATCCCAGGGAACGAATATTCAGAGCAGCTGGTTCCATTTATATGTTTTATTTCTGAAGCTCGTGAGCGTTCCAGCGAGAGATGGTATAATTGCTTTAAATCAAATTATGAAACACTATACTTTTTATTCTAAAATGCACTTTTCTGGCGTTCCCTTCTGCAGCGTATCACCCGCAGGTAATGCAGGGTGAGGCTGGAGGCTGAAAAATGTCATGTACTCCACTGCTACATGTCCTTGTTGTGGAAAAACTACGGGTTTTCACCCAAATGTGGCAATTCTTATACAGTGGCAGCACGATGTGAAGCCTGAGGCCCCTCCGTGGTGCCGCTGCCCCCCGACTTGGCTAGCGTAGCCCCTGGAACTACTGGAACCTGGACTTTTTGGCTCTTTTTGTGGCACGCAGGGAGCCGGGGCTGCCTGTGGCCCGTGCCCCTGGCTGCGAGGCGCTGCGGGAGGTGATACTGGGGAGCAGTCGCTCCTAGAGATCCGCTGCTTCCTCCGGGGGTGACTGCGGCTCCCTGAACGCAGCGAGTCCTTGTGGAACACCCTGGCAACAGGTTTGTGCTTATTTGCACGTGATTTCCGCTTCGTTCGTTTCCAAGTGCCTAAAACGAGGCTCCAGAGCACCCAAAGCCTGGCCTAAGGTGAGGCTCTTTTTAGATTTTCTCCTCTGTGTTTTCTTTCTGCTCCAGCAACAACTTCTCTGAATTTTCTCATGTTGCGTTTGAAGCAGAGCACCTGCAAAACCTGCTGGGATCCATCCAGGAACTTTTTTTAGTTTCCTTGTAGGATTAGCTTGGTCCCTGTGTTAGTGCCAGTGTCCCCATGTCTCCTTAGAGGCCTCTTGATGATGCTGGAGAAAACTTATCTCCTAGCTGGGGGAGATCTCGGCTCCTGTCTTCGCTCCATGCTTGTTTGGTGGCTCTTGCAAAGAGGATTCTTGTTGGTTAACGGTGACATTTAGGCTTAGATTTGCTTGCGAATGGGTGGAGAGAGCACCAGTTTACTTGGAAAAGGTCACTGGAAGGATGTGAATAATCTTTCCTCCGCGCTGCTTACACCAGCACTGGATTTGAACCTGTTTCCAGCTCAATATCCTATTACCAGTACTCGGAGCTATCTCACAAGGTCAGCAAAGTGGCATCGTAAATGAACCATAAAATGCATCGTACCCGTGGTTTAAAATACGAGCCCACAGCAGTTTGGTTAGTGATCAAAAAGTACTTGATGGGCCATCTCCATTTATTTCAGCTATTAAAAAATCATGCGCACGGCCCCTCTAAGTACTAATGCCATCAAATGTGGTCAACACAGACAGTTCAGCCTGCGAAAGCGAGCCAGAAAGGGCATTAAAATGCTTAGTCTATGACATACTTCCTTATTTTTTGTCATTTTGACATTTATGTGTTGTTGCGTTGCGCGTTTGGAGAAAGAAGACCCAGCTCCTGAAGCACACTGAGCTGAGATCTCCAGTTCCTAGCGCTGCCGCCGTCTGGTTTGCGTTTGATTCCAGTTGACCACCTGCATGCTGTTAACCTCTGGAAGGCTGCAGCGAGCACGGGCGTTGTTGTTGTTTGTTTAAAAATTTTGCAGCTCAAGGAAAATATTAGTAACCAGTTACTTAACCTTTGCTGTTTACTGATGTCACTGAACTTGCAGATGCGGCTTAGCTGGCCCGCGAAGAGGGGGAGTCATCTGGTGCCAGGAATCGTTTGCACTTATTCTGCAGACAGCGATAGGTTGAGCAATTAAAAGAACTTGCTTTTTGGTAAGCGTTCTTTGTCTGCTGGCCCTTTGTAGCGAGTGATCTCGGAGCTGAGGATGGACTGGGTTGGTCTGGGAAGGGGGATTTGCAGAGCTGCAAATCCCAGCCCCAGGGCTGCGCGGGACCGTGTGCAGGGCTCATGCAGGCAGTTCAAGGGAGTCAGGCCAACACACTCACACACTAACAGTCTCTGCCCAGGAAAATGGAAATTGCTGCAATTAGGCTTTTTTTTCCCTCCTTTTTTTCCCTAACATTAGGAACGGCTTCTTTGAAAGCATGAGGGATTTTAGTAAATGTGTGACATTCAGCCCAGGACGTGGCTTTGGAAAGGGAATTTAATTTTCAGGTGAAATACAGGAGCACTCAGTTTTACCACCATCTGCGAAAAGAGCACTTAGTTCAACCCCAAAATGTCCAGAAAAAGCAATAAAACTTTCTGCGACTCTACCCTTAACCTCAGTACTGTTTTAGGGGTTTTTGTTTGTCAGTGTGGGTGCCTGGGGGGATAGTGGGACATGAGGATTCAGGGGAGCTGCTCAAATAGATTAAACACCATTAGACCCCTCTGTAGTCATTGGCAGTGAATTAAAGTGAATTAGGGCTATTTTAATTCTCAATGAGCGAGTCCACGTGGGCTTAATATAGTTGTGTACAGAAACACACATTAAAATCACATCCTTAGTTAGCCTGGGTTGTTTGCTAAGTAGGCAGACCTAATGTGTACCTTTATTTATCAGTATATAGGGAGCTCACTTGACCCTTAGCGTGCACCATTGACAACCAAAGGGGCTGAATCAAAAATAACACCATTTTGGGCCAATATAAATATCCTGGGCCTGTGCTGTGTCCGGAGAAAAGGGCTGCTCCTGGATGGCTTTTAGCTCTTGGCACTGAAACCAGCACCGCTCGCTGCAATAAAGCCTGCAGCACTGATTTCATACACTATCAATTAGTACAGCATTCTGATGCCTAGGAATGCAATGCAATAGATAGGTGACACAGAAATATTATTAATGGATAGTTTACCACTTTCCTAACTGCGCCAACTTCATGAGAACGCTTTACATTCCTATCTGGAACAGCAATACTAGGGATTTATTAAAATGACGGAGTACTCGTCGTTAGCTGGAGTACCTAACTATATTGGAGACATAAAGTATTCCGCATCAAAGCGCGTAATCTACATTTTCCCTTTTCATCCTTAATTTGATTATGAACTATTGCTCTGCTTTGCCATAAAGCACCAAAGTTGTACATTTTGATGGTTTCTCAAATGCTGATTTTACTTTCTGCACAAATACTTCGTATCTTTGCAGCATAATTATTTAGCAGCCATTTCGGGTTAATTATTGTCATTAACAATATGAGTCCTGTGAGGGAATATCAATTAAAATATGCACAGCTGAACTTTCAAATGAGTAAATAATTTAGTTTTTGAAAATGACTGGAAACAGCAGGGTAACAGTCAAAAGGGGAACAATTATTTTAATGCTTATTTGACAAATGAGTAATTTTTACAGCAAATTAGTTTCTTATCACAGCACCCCTACTGGTAACAAGAGAGAAGCTGTTAACACGAGTTTTAAAAATAAAAGCTGCTAAGTTATGCATGCAAAGTTAAGGAAATCATTTGTATGAAGAAAAGGTGATTATGACACACATTGTTAGCTGAAGAATGTTGCCATGGGAATCTAATTAGGGATATAAATCACACAAAATTATGTGTGTATATAAGGCTGGATATATTAAAGCGATATGCACATCACTTTTGTTCCTTATTGTGCAAGTCTTGAAGATAAGCCTTTTCTTCTGGACCCCACTAAACAGTTTCAGGGAGCGAAAGTTAATAATTTGGTAGAAGTGCTTATTAAAAATAACAGGAAGCTAAGTTAAATGAGATAAGGAATTTCAGGTCTAAATATATGATGTTAATTCCTTCGCAATGACCAAAAAAAAAAAAAGGAAATAAAAAAAGAGTGTAGGAAAACTGTGCCAGATGGGTGTTTGTTATTCCTGGTTTGGGCAAGTTTTAACGTGCACCTTGACTCTTTAGTTATGTTGACCTGGGTTATTTATGCAAATATTCAACAAAAAAGGCAAAAAGTTTGTGGAGGAAGTTTATAGAAACCAATGTTTGTGTTACTGTGAGAGCACTGAAGGGTTTCCCGAGCTCTTCTATAGGAGTTGGGGTGGAAGAGGGATCTCAACAAAGCTGTCCTTTGTATTTGCCATCTTCTCACGTGCCTTTTCATTTCTGATTTTCTTTGTCCTGATTGCTCCCTGAAGGAGGGCACGGTGATGCTCATGGTTTCCCACTGCTACAGTTTGGAGTAAGTAGGTCGTTTATAGCAATATAGCGATCATTAATTCAGATTTTCTGATTGTTTCAGTGGTTCTGGATGCATCCGTGGAGCACCAAGCTGCATCGAGTGCTGCCAAGTTAGCGTCGCGCGTAAGAAACTTCCAGTGAAGCTGGCCAAATCCTTATGGATACTACAGCCTGCTGCCTCTGGGAGTGAAAATCAGGTAACGTGGCTGTCTTGTGTGTGACAGGGCCCTGGCGTGGTAAGGAACTGAAAAGCAAAGGAGGGGGAAAAAAACAAGGAAAGCTTTGTGGGTTTTTCCCTCTTTGCCTGATGCTGGGCGAAGCTGCGAGCAGGAGCTCGCGCAGAGCTGCAGCTCCGAGAAGGCAAGGCTGAGCCGTTCCTCATGGAAACTGGTGATCATGTCTCTCTCCAGCAGCTGGCCAAACGCAGAGCTCTCGGCTCAGCCCTTGCCAAGCGTTTTGCAGCCTGTTTTTCCTGGTGCACACTCGGATCCCACCGCTTGGCTCTGCGGTTTGCTGGGACCAAGCCTGGCTTTGCCCCCAGACCCGTGCGCAAGCCTGGGCATTGCAGGCGGGCACTGGCCTCTGCTCATAGCACAGGCTGCAGATTCCACACTGTCTCCCAGGAATGCCACTGGAATTGCAGTGTGGCTCTGGCAGCGAGCTTTCCTCACCGGGGTGCATCTCCCCTTTGCTTTTTTTCCCCATTGCACATTAAGACAAGAGGGGAAGAATGGCATAAAAAGTGAGAAACAGTAAAACGGAGTTTGGCGGAGACGGGAGAGGGGGCTGCTGAAAGCTGGAACCAAGGAATGGCCCTGAGCCAAGGAACGGCCTGCCTGATCTGTTCTTAAGGCTTTTATTTTTTCCATTTGCTTGGTAAACATCACTTCTTGCAGTAAAAGCTGCTGAGGAGAGTTGCACCTTTTTTCGGCATGCCCACTTCGTCTCCCCCACCACCTCAAGCCACTCTCCCAGCACTAATATTCCATAGGAAAAAAGGGTGATGTCATTTGAGTCAGGCCGTAATTTTCCAGCTGTTGGAAGAAGGCATGTTGTGGTGTTTATTTCGCTACTTATGAAGATTTGTGGCGTTGAGGGGAATTTTTTACTTCCAAGATCATTGTTAAAGTAATTGGAACTGATGGTGTGGGGCTCTGCGCCGTGGCCGGGGGCGGCAGGAGGGGACAGCGGTGGCGGAGGCTGCGTGCCCTGCGTGTTGGTAACGCTGCGCCTGGCACCAGATCCAGGGTTTTCCTGCATTATTTTTATGCTGAAAGGGAGAGAACCGTGAAAAGTGCAGCCTTTCTGCCCAGCTGAACCTTTGGGCTCTCCACTGCTGCCTTTGTCCTCCGTGGAGGCGTCCAGATCTCCTTAGGCAAAGGAGAGGGCAGGTAGCTGAGACCTCACATGCTCCCATGCGCTCGCTTTCCAACCCCATTCCTTATTTGTGGAAAGCAGGGCGGCTCCGACATGCCAAAATGTGGAGTGGGGCACCCGCAGCCCTTGAAGCGCCAGCCAAGCTCGCGCGCTCCGCAAGGCCTGGATGCAATCACCAGCAGAAGCCTTTGAGATGCTGCTGCTGCTGCTGCTGCTTATTTTTTCCCTGTGTGTGTCTATTAAAGCATCGCTGCCTTTTGGGAGCTCAGCTGGAAGAGGAAAACAGGCCTGGGAGAAATCACGGCGCTACGCGCGGGCAGGGGCTCCCGCGGGCGCCGCGGCGGCACAAGCCCGGCACGCAGGTTCTCCGCGAGCGGAGCGGGATGCGCACTGGGAAAGCTCCTGTCGGCTCCGTGCAGCTCTCCTTGCTCACCCCGCTCCGCTCCGAAGGGCAGGTTCCAGGATGGACCCGTCAGCGTCTCCTGCCCGGATCCGCAGCAGGATCCACAGGCTGGGCAGGAGCAGGGCTGAAGTTTGTCAGCATTGATTAGGTCTAGGAATTGAAGCAACCCCTTGAACTCGCCACATAAATACAGGCTCTTCAGCTTTTAACCCTGCTCCCCATTACCTCATCATATGCTACCCCAAAGGAAACGTATACTATAATGTATTCTTTGTCACCTATGGCCCACACCCCCGTGTAAACTCCGTTTGCAGTTCTCTTCCCATGCAGGCACATCACCCAACAGGCATTCCCCTGCTTAGTGCTTTAGTGCTTGGCAAATCCATTGGATTATCACAATTATAGTAACAGTGCAGGACAAAATAAATACTCCCCAAAGGACGTCTAGGAGGATTTTGCCATTTCTTGGTTGGTAAGAGATGATCCCTCAGCAGACACCAGGCTGGCCCTGTTTGCCTTTCTCTTATTTCATCTGTCTCAACAGAGCAGGAAAAATATATAACGTTTGGTCAACAGAAGAATGAGCAGCCTAGTATTATCTGTACTTTTTGCTTCGATCTACGGGGAAAGTTAGGAGTCAGGAGAGGAATCAGGGAACTTAGTGTTCAGCCAGCTTCAAAAGCTTTGGTGCCTGGCCAGGTTTGCAAGACTTAATTGTGCGTTTGCATGGAGTGTTGCAACGCCCTGGAGACTCCCGGGGCGTTCGCACGTGACCCCTTTGGGTGCTCAGACAGTCCTGCCAACGAATGCAGAGCTGTAATTGTGCTGGACGGTCTCCAGCAGTCCCGGTGCGGTGGCCTGGGGATCTCCTACCTGCCGGGTTGTCCAAGGGGAGACACGGAGGGTTGGACGTGGGGCCCGTGGTTTTACATGGGGTGCTGGGATCGGTTCCTGCTCACACGGTTGCAGGAGCGGGTCAGAGCTGGCCCTGCTGACCCTTCAGTGGTGCCATGAGGGAACACTGGCCGCTTATCCAAGCTCTTCTGCCTTTCCTTGTAAATATTTCCCTTCCAATCCCGGGGAGGTAAAACAGCTCTTCCCTTTCCCTTTGGAGACAGCACTGGTGTTTTTCCCCACCTTTAACTTTTTGGTCCAATTTGAGTCACTCAAGCTTGGGAACCTCTGGTGAGTTTGGGTGCGAATGGGACTCCGGTGCTACTGGCAACCCTTCTTTGGTGGGAGGAGGAGAGAGAAAAAGAAAGAGAAATAAGGCAAACATTGAATTTATGGATCTCCAGATGTCAGGGAAATGCACATAAAAGTGCAGATGCCTCATCGTCAGGCAGACTGTTCAAATGTATGCAAATGGGTGACAAGTTTATGTGAATGGGGCTGAAAAAAAAAAAAGGAAGAGAAAGCAAAGGGAAACAAGATGCTTAAACAATTGTGCGCTCAGTCTTGGGCATTACGTTTGGTAGAAGCCATGGCTGGGGTGACCCAAAGAAGGCCAAGGCCGTGGTGAGCATGGCCAGCTGGGCAGGCTTTGATTGATGCCACTCTTCTTTGACACACCATCCAAGTGACATAAATTTACACCTTCTAAGTTATGGGGCCTATTGATCAAACTTTTCCTTGCACAGCAGTATTTGGATTATTCTGCAAATCATCTTCATGGCTAGCTATAAGGGTCACCTATATTGTCCTCAGTGAGGATAGCATCGATGTATGGGGTTTAAGTGAGTGCAGCTGTACTTGCACATATATTTCACATATGAGCTTCTTGATTGTTTGGGGTAGCAAAACAATTCTCCGTCAACTGTGCTTCCAACTTGTGAATTAATTATATCTGTTTCCCTGTAAACTGTTCACGAGCAGCTGGTCTTCCTGGCATCTTTATTAGCATGCCAAGAAGCTTCTCCGAAGCATGAAATGCCAAAGGAAAAATCATCTTGCTGAGTCCTACCTGGGCTGGTTGGAATGAAGGGGGATCCGTCTTGCAGCCAGGTGAAGCACCTGGCTGTCAGTGGCCACAGTCTAAAGCAGCACCCTGTGTATTGGCCTGCTTTGCTTTCCATCCCTCTCTGCTCTCGGCCAGAAAACAATGTAAAATTATAGCTATAGGCAGCCGTAAGGTTAAGGAAAGCTGATACAGTCTGGATGATGTGTTGCTGAGCAGCTTGTGTGGCTCTCTGTCCAAAACGTGTGTATTTAAAAATGCTTCAAGCTGAACTAGCCTTTCTGGATCTCTTTGCTTATAATGCACGAGGGGTTCCTGAGTGGCAACTGCCATTAATGTTATTAAGCATTACTTGGCCGTGGTCCCCGTTTATCAGGGAAGGGAAAGAGCTGCCATGTATGCAAGTCCCGTGATGCAATGCTAGGGCCTTTTAAAAAGTTATTAAACAGGTAATAAAACTCTTTTACAAAATATACTTTGATTTGTACAGCCTTTAGAAAGGGCAGAGGAGAAAACACATCCTTACCCCCATTAAAACTCCAAATCTGATCCGTAGCAAAAATAAAGCCTTAATTTACCATATCTGGGTTTTACTGTACTGGAAAGGTGAGAAATACAATACAAGTTATACAGCTCACTTCTTACAAATACCAGCTTATATGAGTTAACGCTGGCAGTTAACATGGTAGGTTTTTCTCAGCAATAATCAAGCTACATCTGCAGAACTTATGGGTTGGGTTTTATAAAGTTCACAATTCAGAAATGTGTCTGTGCTAAAGGGCTTTGGCTCTGTAGCTCAGGGCAAGTTTTATATGCTGCAGTCTGTAACCATCTTTGTTTCTAGAGAAGTATATGCACGGAGCATGGATTAAAACGTTTTACTACGTGCCAGCTGGATTTTATTATCTGAATAGATTATATCCTAAACAGGTCAACTACCTCTGATTTAAGTGCATGCAGAATGGGAAACAGCATTTACTCATGCAGTGGGTTTATCATATGATCCTGCAGCTCTGCTTCACTCCCAACCAACAGCTAAATGGGAGAGTAGGGTGCAGGGTCTCCAAATGCAACAGCAAAACTAATACAAAACTTTACCTCCGTAGATGCCAAGGTTGGTATAAAGAAATACATCCCAGAGCCATTGCAGGGATGAGAACCCGGTGCGTTCTGAGCTGTTCACAAGGCTCTGAGTCTCTGAAGCTGTTGCCAGTAGAAATGAGCTGAGCTGTCTGGAATAGCTGGCCCGGGGTAGATGGGGAGTATTTGCTGGCTTGGGAGCCTGTTCCCCTCCACACGTGCCAGTTTACCAGAGCTACTTGAATGGAACTGGATCGGGTTTAATTAGTAAATCTGGAGAAAAGTAGTGAAAAGACAGGTTGGGCTCACTGACTGAGGCCATGGTCTGTATTTTAGGCATTTTACTAAAGGTAAGTTATGGTACCTAAGGAACAGCTGGACAATGTTCAGATTCATCTTGGCTGGCTCCAGCTGCTGATGTGCATGGGTGTTTTTCTTTATGGGTGTGTATGAGTGTATTGTGTGCATCGGTGATGATAAGGGAATATGCACTATATTCCCTCACATTTGAGTGACAAAATGTGAGCATATTTTTACAATTTAGCATTTTAACATGCCAAAGGGCTCTATTTATTTACTTATTCTCTCCTTTTTAAAGTAGGCACCTGAGCATTTTCCCTGTGTCCACCCTCAGTTCCCTATGAAGTTCCTCCTTGAGCATCGTTGCGAATTTTCAGTGCGTTCAGAAGGTCTTCAAAAGGTCAGTGTTGGCACAAAATCCCTCCTGCTTTACCTTTTAAAAAGTGGAATCTAGTAAGTAATGAAACCTCACGTATAAAGAAAAGGGAAACATTCTGCCATAGCAGCCCTATAGTGGAGGTAGGTGTAATGGTGTTCTTGTATTTTACCGTTATAAGATCATAACTTTGAAGATCTCCCTCTCAACAAGGAAGTGTAGAAGGAATTAATGAGAATAGGGTTGGAATATGGTTTAACTGCATACAGAAAACATGCAAGATGTTTCCTGACTCCCCACTTACCTCTGCAGACATTAATGTGCATGTGAACCTGAACACACAGAGAGCCAGGGCAGGAGCTATACAGACCAGGAAGACTCGGCCCCTCTACTGGGATGAAAAACACCATGTTAAGCGGTCTGTCTACCCCAGCTCTGCCCTTCTGCAGATTATTTTTTTGGACTGTGGTTTTGGTATGGAAAATGCAAAAAGTATGAGCTATTCAGAAATCAGAGGAGAAGCAACATGAGAATAAATAGCAGAATATCTGTGGAGGGAGGGAGAGCTGTCTGAATGGGGGAGAGAAAGGAGGGAGGTTGTTCACACTGCATCCTTGTTGTCCCAGTTAGCTGCTGCGTGTTTCGTGTCTCAGCGCTGCATTATTGTTTTCAAGGGGACCCAGCTGATTGCTGGATAGGCATGCAGCGGCTTCCCAGGGGAAGCGGAGGAAGCTTTTCACTGCCTCGCTCAAATCTCGCTTGAACAAAGCAGTGGAAAATACTCTGTAGGAAACAATCAGCCGCTGGCAGGGACTGGAAGAGGTTACATAATAGTGATCATATTTCTGTGACAATGAATGATTCTGTTTATATAATATTCATTTCTGGTCATGTATCCTAGACTTTGCTTATTTTGTCTCATCCTGAGATAATGCAACAGATAAATTCAGCTTACCATTTTGGCCTGTGTTTTCCAGAAAACAGCTAATCATTTTTTTAGCTGAGTTTGTGAATGTAACTATCACAATGCACACAAATTCCTGCTTCTCTTGAAGTCCTAATTCTTTTTTCCAGCATTTTTTAACAGATTGTAGTGCCTGCCTTTAAAATGAAGAAAGGAGAGGGCTGTGGGAATTACACCTGGTTCAGTCTAACCATGATGCTTAGAAAGGTACTAGAACAAATGATTAAGCAATCAGCGTGTAAGCACCATGCAGATAATAAGGTGATAAAAAACAGTCAACACAGGTTTGTCAAGAAAAGTCCTGTCCAACCCATCTAATTTCCTTCCTTTGCAGGGAAGCTGACTTAGTGCATGAGGAGATGCGACACTTAGATCTTGACTTAAGCCAGGCTTTTGACACTAACACGTTCTGTGCTTATATGTATACTGGAGAAATGTGGCCTAAATAAGAGGAGAAGGCCCCACTCTGAAAACCAGCCCTGAGAGAGCAAGTGTCATTGATGCCCTGCTCAAACAAGAATGAGTGAAGCCCAGTTCCAGTTGATATTTTCATTACTGACTTGGATGATGGACTAGAAAGTGGATGTTTAAAATTGATGGAGGATCCTAGGCTGGGCTGGCATGGAGGTTGTTCAGAAGGCAGGAGGAGCAGTGCAAGTGAGCTCAATATGCTGGAAAATCTGTTAGCAGTGTGAGGACACCGTTCACAAAAATGCAAAATGTTCTGTGTCGCAGAATCTGTACCTCTCTAAACACACAATGACTTAGCACCAGGAAAGAATAGGGAGTTTTAGTGGCTTGCAGATGGAACAGGAATAAAAAATGCAATAAAGTCATTAAAAGAGCAGTGCTTAGCCTGCAGTGCTAGCAGAGCTGTTGTATGTAAGACGTCCTCTGTTCAGAAGCCTGAAGCTGGAATCTTATGTCCAGTTGCTGGCCTCTTTTAAAGCTAATGCAGAAAAATTGGATGTAATCCATAATAGTAATAATAATAATAAAAAAAACCAAACCCTCCAAGATTTAGAACATATGAGCTGGACTGAAAGTTTGGAAGATTTGTGTGTATTTGTCTGGAAAGATGTAATTGAGGGGGGCCATGTGTCTTCTAGTCGACAAATGTTGCTAGGAAGAGGATGAAGATGTCACCACGTCCAGCAAGGTCGGGTAGGAGAGAACATACCATAATTTCACATGTGTAACTGGGAGCTTCTCTGTAAAACCAAGCTGAACTCGGAGAACATCAGTCTTTACACACTGAGGCAATGAGACATTTATTGTAAACCTACCCTGGTCAGCACGGAGCAGCTATATTTGATTTGAGGTGCGTGATGTGAAGATGCAGATGAGTTGAGGGTGGGGGTTTAGGAGCCAGGGTTGTCAAAGGGTTCAAGTTACCAAAAGTGTGGGCTCAAGATGTGAAAATAAATTCATGGATTTGGCTCCATAGCAGCAAAATAAGGCTTTTGGTGATTAGGGGGGAAGAAATATAACCATATATTTATATATAGTTTATATATATATATATATAAATAAGGATTGGTGAGCACTGAAAGAGCTTAATTTGAAAGAGCTTAAAAGACTCCCCTTTTATGTAGGTTTTAAGAAGTTTGACAGTCTCTCATGGCTGGAAGTAAACTTGGCACTGCTTTGGCCAAGAAGAGAGACTGGATGCCCTCTTAGGACTGCTTTTAGCCTGACATCTAGGACTCCTACAACGTGAAGTTTTGTAACAATATAATATTTCTTTTATACCCCTGCAAAAAGAAAAAAAAGCACAGAACTGACATAATCCAGGCAGTTTTGCTTTATGATGAGAGATGAAAATATAGCTATGGATTCATAAAAAAAAATAAATGCCTGACCTGACTTTAAATATAAATGAACGCAGGGATGATCGTATGCCGAGGAACGGTCCTGTGAAGCGAGCTAGCTCAGCGCCTCGGCGCTGCCAGCCGGGCACTGGTTGTCTGTCTGGTCTGGTGTCTTCGCGGACGTGAGAATTGCAGCTTTTGGACTGCAGCTTTTCCCCATGTTCTCGAGGTGTTAATCTCCCCAAGGCTCTTGTGACCCAAACAGGGCCCTGGGCTCCGTCCCGCTCCGCTTCCCATAAACCGGATTGACATCGGGGGCTCCGAGGGCGCCCGCGCCGCCCGGCCGCGGCTTCCCCAGCCCGGCTGTCGGTGTTCACACAGGGTTGGGATCCTCACCCCGTTTATTAGCACTTGGAGCGGGGTGGATGTCGGCCAAAGCAACACGTCCTGAACAGTTCGGCGGAACAGAAACAAGCAGAAACCTCCCAGCAAAATATTTGCATTTTTTTTTTTTCCAAAGAGCTTGGTAGCTGCAGCCCTGGCATCTGTGACTTCTGTGCCACAGCCATCGGTATTTCCCTATGAAATGCTTTTTTTAAACACCCCCAAAACTTTCAGGCCTTCTTCTACATATAAAAAAGTAAACAATAATAATAAAAAAAGGCCTGAACCTGATGCATTTTCAGTTGTACATCGCTGCTAATGAAAGTCATGTGTGTGGAAACACCACTGCTTTTCTCCTGGCTTACTGAAATTAAACAACGACTGATACCTACTTACAAATCCCAAGACCTCTGCCAGTAATGTATTTTATCACTATGGTTGCAGAAACAAATAGCCACTTACGAAGGACGCGTTCCCCAAAGCGAAGGGCGCGGAGGGCTCGCGGAAAAGCTCGTGGTAGCTTAGCAGGGAGCCACGAAGCACGAGTGGCAAACGGATTAACAGCAGCAACGGACTTAGCTGTTGTATAGAACCTATATTTTCTGTACCATTTCATTGGAGCTACTTGGCTTGCAGTGGTCTTGTGCCACTTGCATCTTCTAGCATTGCTACCTCCCTTTCCAAAGGGGGGAAAGCAGGATATTTTGAATAATTCTGTTTATGTTTAATTAGAAAACAAGTAACGTAGTTGCTCCTTGTAGTCTTGAGCTGATTATATTTCATAAATACAACCGGGCGCTCACCAGAGTGTTCCCGAAGTAACATAAACCACATGTAGTGCCCCACACTGCAAGGACGCGGGCGTTGAATTTCTGCCTGGCTTTATGTGCACGAGTTTATTGTGGGCGAGCGCAGCCCGTGCCCTGTCCTGCCGCCCGCGGGGCTCAGCACTGGCCGTGCGGGGTCGGCTCCGTCGTATGGTCTGCAAGGGATGGATGGAAGGAGATGCTGGTGAGGAACAACATCTAGGGGGAAATTCGGGAATCCCTCCTGGGGCTCTGCCTGGTGCAAGAAACACCCTTTGCAGCAATGTGCTCCATGGGGTGGGAATGACAGATAATGGGAATGAGAAGGGGTGCTGAAGTGTCCAGCACCCCATTCCTGCATGTGCTGCAGCACGTGCAGGTACCACAGGTGAATGTGCCATGCTGAAGGTTTGAGTTTCCCAGTGGGTAGGCTTCCAATCCCATTTGTCTCACCTGCAAGGACTCCTCTAGATGGGATTTTCTTTACACCTCTCATCTCCCATAGAAAGTGTGATTTATTCCCAGTGAGGGGAAGTTTTTAAAGGACAAATTACATCATGAAAATCATTTCTGGTGGTGGGGCTTCTTGTCATTTGCAGACGTGAATAGCTTGTTTAGGTCTGGCGTATTCCATAACCCCGCGTTCGTGCTTGGCTGTCACACCAGGTGTGTGAAACCAGCCCGCCTGGTACACAGCGAGCTGTGATTGAACCCTTTATTTATGACTTCTGCCTCACATTGCATTAATTAGAATGCAAATGAAGGGTTTCCTGGAAAGCTGCTGTTTACTTCTGCCATACTTTACATGTTTCATTAGTCTTAGGACCCTGACAGAGTCACGTTATGTCGATTTAACAAGTTAGCAGCCTGCTGAGCCATAGGGGTTGTACGTATGCATGCATAGGGGCTCAGCGCTGCGGTGTGGGGCAGCCCCCGTTTGCCTCCTTAAAGCTGGGCTCCCTTCTCCTGTGTTAGCAGCCGTGC